GGTTCTGTGCTCACCAGGTATTTAAGAGTACCGATTTAACAGGGCATGTTTTGGGTTGGAAGAGGGAAGGTATAAGGAGACAGAGAAAGAGAATATGTGAGCAGGAAGCAGAATTTAACTTTTAGTTCCTTGGTCTTTTGGAGATTGTCAAATGTTGTGCTCCAGAATAACCCAAAGAGCTTTTACAAATACAGAGCTAAGTCCTAACCCAGAATCAGAAGCCCTGGAGTTGGAATACAGGAAACAGGGTTACTACAGAGCTCTGGGTGCCTTTCAGTATTCGTACTACAAAAATTGAACTGAAAGGTGGACATGGTGTGACATGCCTATAATCCCAGCACTTGAGGGACTGAAGCAGGAGGGTCACTGCAAATTTGAGGACACCCTGAACTATACAGCAAGAGCAAAACAGAAAGAAAGTAAGAAAGGAAGGAAGGAAGGAAGGGAGGGAGGGAGGGAGGGAGGGAAGGAGGGAAAGGAAAGAGAGAGAAAGAAAGAAAAAGAAATCAAGAGAAGAGGAGGGAGAAAGATAAAGGAAGAGAGAGGGGAGGGGAGGGGAGGGGACAGGGAGGTATTTAAGTTGAAGGCTGTATGAAGACTTGGCTGCCTCTGCGTTTAAAGGGACTATGATAACTTATACTGCTAACAGTCTAGAGTCAAGAGCATTTATTCAATTAAATTCCATATATATTGTGATAAAATTACTAACTTAGACATCCTAAATAATGTGCACTTCGTTTTGTCCCAATAACACTATAAATTTTAAAACTTCCCTGGTGTACCTTCTTTGTTCATACCTGTGGTGAATAAGGCAATTATGACCAAATAAAAAAGCATAAAAATAAATACATGGCATCTCTTAAGAAACAAAGTTCTACATGTATTTCTAGATGCTAAATGCGAAATATACAAATGCAGAAAAACTACAGGTCTCCTAATTACCAGGGACAAAGGCATACTTGTTTTGAATGGTCACTGGCACTGCCTATGTGGGGTTTTTCTAACCTCCATGTACAGCAGGGTATCTAATCCTCATGACCCTATGGTAACTACAGCTGAGACTCTACAGAAGTGAGTCAACTGCACCAAAGTAACTGTTACTAAAATTTAAATGTGGGCTCCATCACTTGATATAGTAGCTTGCTAAGTTTGCTGTACCAAGAACTACCACCACAGACTTGGCTTACACAGAAATGATTTTCTCACAGTTCTAGAGAGGAATCCAAGATAAAGGCATCCATTGATTTGTTGCTCCTAAGACCGCTGCCCTAGCTTGCTGATGGCTGCAGTCTTTTATGTCCATAAAAGGGTATTTTTTCTGTGTATGTGTCACATTTACCTGGTGGCTCTTTTTAGTATGATGAGTACAATAGTCATATTTGATGTGGTCCCTACCCTAAAGGCTTCATTTTAATCATCTCTTTACCAAACTTCCAAATAGGGTTATTTAGAGTTACTGGAGATTGTAAATTCTGGGCAACATGATTTAGCCAACAATACTTACTGACTGTAATCACAAAAAAGGTACTAGATTTTCCCAGGTCTTAATTTCTTCAAAGGCAAAACACCACTACTGAGAACTGAATGAGATAATTCATGTGAAAGGCTTCGCACTGTGTCTTCTCAGCCATTAGCACCAGCATCATTATACATTAGGAGAACAGTAACCCGAAAAGATGGTGACATGCCGCTTTTTCATCTCCAAAGGAGAGTTTTTATAGTTCAGAATACCACCCTCTTGTACACTGTAATGTATAATTTCAGAGAATTTTACCTAATTTATAATTGTTTCATTTCTCCTTTGGGGGTAAGTTGCTGGGGATCAAACCCAGAAATCCTGCATGCTAAGCCCATTCTCTATCATTGAGTTATATGTAGTTCCAGCCCTCATACCTCTAACTTGCTTTCTTAGTTTTGTTCAAATTTGACTATATACAGTATAAGGGAGTAAGAGAAGTAGTTCAAATTAATGATCCTATTAACAAAATTTTAATTAGGAAGATATAATACTTTCCTGAGATTATTTATGAGTTTCATTCACGCTTTCTCTTAACTTGCAAGGACAACAGGATATAGTCACACAATGATGATATCTGCTTTAACTATTACAAAAGAAAGCCAGTCCAACAGTTTTGGGGGGACTGGGGGTTGGTTTTAAAATTGGGATTACGATTACACATTATATTCACTCAGCAGTCTCTCTCTATATATTACACGTATTTAATTTGAATGCAATAAACCTGTTTTATTTAGTTCTCATCACAATCATTTTACAGTTGAGGGATCAAGGAGCACAGCAAGATTCTTTTTTTTTGTTCACAAAGCTGGTCTATAACTGCCAGAACCAGAACCCTCACTGACACCGTCCACTCTAAAACCAAGGCCACCAATTACTTTCCCAAGCTGTAAAACCTGGTTTCCTCATTTTTCATGGGTCATGTAAACAGAGCAGGTGCTCAGCACATAGGGCAGGCTGATCTGGGGGCGAATCTGAATCAAACTCAGGACCTTGCGCTTGCGAGGCAGGCACTGGAACCACTGAGCTAAATCCCCGGCCCCAGAACCTGTTTTATGTCCTTGATATTGGGCCACCTTAACCACTGCCAACACCTTGAAGGAAATGATCAAGTTCCTTTTTGCCCACGGTCTAGCATATGGGTTGCTCATTTCAGTTCAACAAGATATTTACTGAGAATGGGAAGTTCAAGTAAATGTTGTATAATCAAATCACAGAACACTTTTGCTCTAGTAAAGCATTTATAAAAATCTCTCCTGGTTTACAACAGGAAAGGTTTGAGGATTTTTCCAATCCCAAAATTCTGATTCCATCACAGTTCACACTTGGTGGATGGTTAAAGCACCACCTCAAGTATCAATTATTGTACACAAAATTTTTTTTAATTAAAAGATTAAAAAAAATTTTTTTTAAATTAAGTCTAGACCCATCACAACATTCTTAGTGTGCAGTATGATTCCAAAAAAGCACTGACTCTGTGTATGGGACAGGGAACTACAGACTTTACAGAAGGGATGGTTTAACTGGTGATGAGGTCAATCTGAGTCATAGTGGAATTGTTGTTGTCAGGGCCCATTGGTCATAAAAAGCTATATTAAAAGAAATCATGCTAAACTTTTGTTTTCTCGAGAATACACTAGGGGCTGTTCAAATTTTAAAAAGAAAACTTTGAATTCTGTTTTGCTATGACAGCTAGCTCAACAGGTTTTAGCTATGAAAATTATCTGGTCATTTCTGAGTTGTTCTGCTCAGAGAGAAGGAAAGAGAGCAGAGGCGCTAGCACAGTGCTGAGGTCCGTCTCCATGTTTCCCTGTAATGTCAGGGTTCCAGAGTGGCCACTTTGTTCCTCTCCGAAGCTTTTGAAAATCTTGTTATAAACTGGCTATCACCTCCATAGCTCACAATTTCACAGGGCTCTTTCAGCTGATTGAGGAAAAAAAACTCTGAAGTTCTAAAAGTAAAAGCATTCAAAGTAATAAAAGATTAAAGTGTAAGTAATGACCAGCATTACATTTCCTATCTAAATAAATCTTTTAAATCTGTGACTGAGGTAGGCAAATTTCACTTAAAAAAAGGAATATTCTAAAAATATTTTTGATGCCTTATCAAAAGAGAAGAAATTTCAAATAGAAACAGAGGCACACAAATGCATCTAAAATTCTATGAAGACCCAAATCCAAATCTCAGTTTATCCCACTCATCCACTACGGCAGTAAATATTTATTAAATATATACAATATACAAAAGCCCTGAGCTAATGTTTAAGATTAAGAATTCTGCAAGGAATGTCCCTTTATCCTCTTGTAATGCAATTGCACTATAAGATGAACTTTTGTTTAGATTTCCTTCCCAAATAAGTTTCACATTTCTCTTGGACAGAAAAGAACAAAATAATTTTTCTGTTATGGCTTTCTGGTCTCATGAAAAATTTTATTTAAGTACTCACTGGGAGAGAAACTCCTCTGTTAGTTTTCACGGACCAGCACTAGCCTTCTCATCAGTGACTGAACTACATAATAACTGTAACTTCCACCATTACCTGATTAAACCTACCTGCACATGACATGGAGTGAATAAGGAACCATGTGCCTTCCAACTGCAGTAACAAGAGCTGAAGCACATTGTCAGGGGAAGCAAAAAGATCATGATCGTGTGGTTTGGAAATCAAAAACAATGGAATAGAAACAATCCCAATAACTGCAAATAATTTGGGTTTCCCCGAGTGTCCTGCCATATTAAATCCACATGGCTCTGCAATGGAAGGAAAAATTAAAGCCTGTCTCATGCTTCACTTTTGCCACTGATTGAGCTTGAAAATGAAAATTAAGATAATCTTTTTAAAGTTATTCAAAGGCAAAAATTATATTATTGACATTTAACGGAATAAGCTCATTAATGTGGGGTAAAAGAATTGTATAGCAATTAACCAATGTCCTAACCCCAGATTTCTTAAATATTTTATTGGTATTAGGTTGACAGAACTGATTGTTCAAATATATAAATTCTTTCTGTGTTTACTAGCCTGCCTCAAGTTATTGTTAGTGTGTTCTTACAAAGAGAATTACTTACTTCCTAAGTTCAGCTTCTTTCACTTTTGATAACTGGTTTTTCCAAAGACACACAAGTGATGTCCTTCAACAAAGAGACTGAACAGGATGATGTGAACAAGCTCTTGTGTCCAAGAATGGGGAAATAAAAGGTGTACACAAACCTTAAGGCAAATGAGGGCATACTCACTGGCCAATGTCATACTAAGGAAATCCATAGCACATCAAAGGAAATTTTATGTTATGGTTCTGTTCAAAATGAACCATCTTTTGGGACAGCAAATCACTATCAAGACTGCTATTCTTCAAATTCAGACAGTAATAATAGGCAACCTCTTCACAGAAATGGAAAATGACAATCAGCCAGCTCTGTGTCCCATGGTACAAACTCACATGCACACATTTTCCCTCCTAAAATTAAAACTAGATCAACTTACATGGCTCTCTGGCAATGAACTGAGGTACAGTGTTGGGCAGAGGAGTACTGGGATTTGGAGTCCCTACTAGTTTGTTCTTGGCCATCTTCGTGTTTGCTTTAGCAAACTCTAGTCGTAGTGTTTGCGGAATTTCAGGATCGAAGCGGATGCCCTTTGGAAATAAAGAACAAATGGAAGATGTTTTCATTTCCTTAGAGTCAAACCGGAATGGTGACAAAATAAACACTCCAGTAAACCCTGGCCTATCAGGAAAAAAAGGTCAGCAAGTGTTCTCATTCTCACTATTTACTTAGAATATACAAAAACTCACAATACATTGTGTCCAGAAAGTCAGGCAGATTTAGCTTACTTCACTAAAAAACTGAGTTACATGGATTTTCACCAATCCCTTTTCTTCTTGGAGAAAAACTTTCAAGTTCTAAAACTGAAATGAGCTGATTCCTGCCACAATTAAAAACTTTGATGGCTACTAATAAAAATGACAAATATTATTATTGATAAACAGAAAGAAAACCTTGTAACACTGGAGTCTGACACCTGAAATCTGGAGAGGCCTGGTCTCCAGTGTTAACGGGATAATTTTTTAATGCTTTTAGTTTTGCTACCTATAAATGGAGAGAAAGAATCCCATTTCCTTCTAACACAAACCTTGACAAAGGCAATACAAATTACTTAGAAGACAGGAATTAGAAGTTTGCATAATTTTAAACAATTAATATCCTTTGATCATAGTTAGCTTATAAATCTATATAAAATCTGAGTGGCTTGTTGTTATAAAGTCCTGGTTTCATTACATTTGGCTTACTACCTACATAGAGAGACAAAGAATTATACAGGCCAAAGAAATGATAGTAATATTAATTACCCTTGCCCCTATTACTGTATAGGGGCACCTTCAAATATTATATTCTTTTTTTTTTTTTTGGTACCGGGGATCGAACTCAGAACCTTGCGCTTGCAAGGGAGGCACGGTGCCACTGAGCTAAATCCCCAGCCCAAAATATTATATTCAATAAGATAAATCACAAAAACCACAAACAAGATTTAGGGCAAGCAATGTCTATTTTAGAACCCACCTATTCAAGAATTTCTTTATTACTAAGTGTAACTAAGAATCTAGTGAAAACGATGTTCAATGCCCTGAATTCCGTACCCCTGCAGGTATCAGAAATCCCAGCACAGTGCAGACATGCACCCAAAATAGACTCAAGTACCACCGTCCAAGTCTTCAAAATGAATATCCTAAGAACACAGGTTTTTGAGGTAGGGTTCTGTTTTACTTTTTTTTTTTTGGTACCGGGGATCAAACTCAGGTCCTTACACTTGCAAGGTAGGCAGTGTAACGACTGAGCTAAATCCCCAGCCCCTCCAGGTAGTGGTCTGAATGTACATATATGGGCCTCATGGTTCCCAAACTCTCTTTTCTTAATGAACTTGAAGAAGAAACAGAGCAATTTCCACATGAAATGTGGACACTCTTATTGTGTGACCAGATCGAACAATTATGAACTTCACTGGCTCAGTTCCAAAGATGCAAGGATGAGGCTGTGACTGGAGGGTAATAGTTATGAGACGAAACGGGGGAATGTAGGACAGAGGTCCTCAGAAAGGTACAAGAGTCACAGAGGCCTGACCCAGAGATGTACTGGAGAGGGAGTAGAATTTCTCTGTGAGCCTGATATGTATTCATTCTTTGAGAAGAAACCAATTGAGGGTACCAGACTAGGGAAGGTCCACTTGTAAAGAACTAACAAAAATGAAAAAGAGTTTTTTGAAACATAAAAAAGAGATTTTCTTTAACTGCTTTTGGGGGTTTCTGTTGTTCTTTTAATTTGGGAAACCTCAGTAGTACTGTTGTGCCAAAAACATACATAAGGAAAGAAACCAAGCTGCATTTACTTTGAAACAGCATGTGCTTCCAAAACATTACAATTAAGAAGTGTTTACCTTATCAAAGCTACTATCTCTACAGAATAAGTATTTCCAAATATGGACCCGAAGAGCTGTGGCCTTTGTTGGAAGACAACCATGATCCCTGGTTGTTATGTAATGGTATGCTGAAGGACCCAGGATATAGCTCAGTGACAAAGTATGAGGACCTGGGTTAACTCCCCAGTACTGCAAAGCAAATGTATGCTGAAGAAGGATTTGTGTATTCACACCACACCCCAACAAACATGCACAGCAATGGCTTGTCACTGATTTTAGGCCATCCTCCTGGCAGTACACTCCACCAACCTTCCTGGGAAGAAGGAACTCTCTTAAATCTGCGCACACATCAACTGAAGGTCCTCACTGTGGCGGGGAGGGGGGCATTTTGGGATGTGTCTGTGGTTCTCTGGAGCTTTGAGCCTTAGACAATGAGGCTGAACATCTGAATTGTCTTGGCTTGATCACTGGTGTTCCAGAATCAACTGAGGCTCTACACAATGTACTTGTTTCTTATACAACCAGGGTTGGTGGCTGGTATCCTGAAATATGCTGAACTGAATCTCCCAACTCCCTCCCCCTTTCTTCATATCCCTCTTGTTTGAGCTAAAATAACAGCAACATGATGTTCCAAATCAAAGTTCCAACATCCTTATTAAAAAGGGGGGGGCCTCAGAAGTTAAAATGACCTAATTTGTTTGGCAGCTTATGCAGAGGCCAGAGGCTTAGAATACAAGCCAGATTCCTCCAACATCTTGAGCAGCAACACCATATTTGGTAATCAATATCCTGCTCTGCTACGTTTCTCTCCATAGGAATTGGCTATGCCCAAAACATTTTAAATGTTAAAGAATGATGAAGAGGAGACAGAGAGAACCAGGAGAAGGGAGGAAATGTAAGTGAAGAAGGAAAAAAGCAAAAGACAGGAGAAAGATGAAAAAGAAAGATAACAAGTAGGCAACATGTAAAAAAAATACCTTGTGTTTTTAATTAAAGCCTAGTAAGATTTCTGCTCTGGGCCAGGGATTTAGCTCAGTGGTTTTGCCGCCTGCTGCAGAAGCACACAGACCCGAGTTCGATCCCCAATACCAAAAAAAAAAAAAAAAAAATTTCTTCTCTGACTAGAGTAACTTCACATTAAATGCTGTCAGGACATCATCCCTGTCAAGTGGAAAGAAAATCTGTCTTTCAAAAACAACCCCTCTCCCCAGCTTACAATTTACCAAAAACTGCACATATATATCAATTTATCAGTATAAAAGCCTCCAAACACAAATGGTGTCCTATTTACAAAAACCAGAAGAGTAGTCCCCTGATACCGTTATGGTATTAATTTGAGGATAAACAGTTACTTGGAAGCCAGCCAACCCGATTGACTACTGGGACAGCCAACAGTCTCCACCAAAGCAGGTTCAGTATGATCTAGAGAGGCTATATTCCCCACCAAGGGAACCTCTGCCAGATGTAAAAACACTGCTGACAGTGTGTCTTTGGCTGTTACACACAAGGTAGTGAGTGCCTGAGAAGGCATTATGGAGGAAGTGATGGGAGAGCTAAGTTCACAGGTGGCAGTCAGTCCAGGAAAGGGCTCAGCACATTTCTGTGTGACAGGATATGGAGAGGGTGTGTCCATGTGGAGGGGGAAGAGTGCAGCAGAGGCCAGTTGGGGTGAGATCACAAAAGACCTTTATGTTCAGAGTGAGGGCTCTAGAGTGTGTGCAGGGTTGAGATCCTCAAATGTTAGTGTGCATCAGAATCAACAGGAGGACTTGCTAAAGAGTGCTGGGCCCATGGACAGTGTTTCTAATTCAGTATTTCAGGGGTTAGATCTGAGAATCTGCATTTATAACAAGTTCACAGGTGTTGCTGATGCTGCCTGTGCAGACAGTGCATTTGAGAATCAAGGAGGTAGAGGGTAACTACAAGTGGCAGGGAAGATGGTCTCATTGGAGAAGGTGCAACAGGCCAGCCGGGAAGCAATAGAGCAGCCCTGGAAAGATAAGCTGGGTGGGATGGCTGCACTGATGGATCCTTCTTCTTTGGGAATGGCACTCAGAGGCCAGTGATATGTGTCCTCTGAGCACAACTGACTATTCAGAAGATAGGTGCTACTCAAAAGTTTACAATGGTCCACAATTAAAGAGTTTATCAGTCCTTGACAATGAGTTTTAGGGGAAATGGAATCATTCATTTATAGAAAGATGAAAAGGTAAAGAATGAAGCCAAGAGATGTGTACTTACTGTAAAAAGATGTCCCCAGTTATATTTGTTTAAAAAAATTACACAATGTTTACTAGTTTAAGAACAAAAGGGAGAAAGGGCTGAGAATGTGTTCAAGGGTGTGTTGTGTGTGTATATGGTACAGCTGTATATGGCCATCTGTGTAAGGCCAGAAACATTTAAAATGAAGTAACCAACCTATTAATAATGGTAACCTTGGAGAAGGAGGGAGGGATCCAGACACATACTGAACAATTTTGCACTGTTTGAACTTTTTACAAATATGTACAATTTGTAAAATCTTACACAGAACTTTTAAAAGCCAGGACAAGAGCTGGAGTAAGTGGTTTTCTATAGAGGGACACAGAGGCACAGTATTCAACCAGTTAATCCACAGAGGAGGCAACAGCAGAGATAGCACCTAACCAACTGTTGTTTCTCTTTACAATTTTCTACAAAATTTATTAAGAAATACTATAATTTCAGCCTTACAGAATAATTTACAAAATAACAAAGAATTCCTGTATACCCTGAGCCCTGACTTCTCAAATGTTAGCGTAATACGACATTTACTATTATTTCCTCCATTCTTTCTCCTCTGCTTCTGTAAGTACACGTGTATACACACGCGCAATTTTTCCCCCGAGTTGTTTTAAGGACAATTTGCCTTTATCCTTGGATTTATTAAAAACAGGGGCATCTCTTTGCTTTCTGAGCCTAGGACTGAATCCAGAATCATGAATATTTACTTGTCCTATCTCTTTAGTCTTCTTTAATCTGGAAAAGTTCTTCAGTCTTTGTCTTTGATGACCTTGACATTTGTAAGAGTATAGGCAATTTTATAGGTGTCCCTCAATTCGGCTTTATCTAATGTTCTTCTTGTTTAGAATACAGGTTATATATTTTTGGCAGGAATATCAGAAGAGCTGTGCGTCCTGCTCAGTGCATCATATCAAGAGGCACCTGATGTCATTTCTGTCCTGTTAGCTGTGATATGAACTC